ATCTTGAAACTCCTCTATCGTAGATTCAGGTCTATAAACAACAATGAGTAAAATCTTTTTATGATTAGATAACATGATTTTTAAAAATAAAATTTCGAAATTGTCGTCCTCTAAATTCCATAAACGTATACTAGCAAGATCTTGTCTTATGTAAACTAATACACCTCCACCTCGTTTGTGCAATCGATCCTTACGAAACAACTGATAATTTGAAATAGAAACTTCAGCATCATCATTCTGTGGCTTAAGCCATTACTCAACAATAGACAATACCAAAAGTGTTTCATTTTTACGTATTTCACTAACGAAATAAAATTTTTTTAAATTACTTTTCCCTGCTGTTGCTAAGATATTTCTGATATTAAAAGAATATATACTAATAGAGCTCTCCCTACCGTCGACGGCTGCATTATTATGTGTGTTAACCATTATCGAGTTTTAGTTTAAATTTTGGTCTGATCCGATACTTCATCCAGATATCTCTTACATACATATAAAGAAGTTGAAATGCAGATAATTTTCCCTCTCTCTTACATATTATAACAAAATAAAACGAAAAGAAAAAAGAAAGAAAGTGGACTATAAGAAATAGACAGAAACACATACTTGTATATGTACTATATACACTTATCAATCTGAACCTGTCGAACTAATAGAAGAAAAGAAGAAAAGGACTAAACTTCATGACCTTAGAATGTTAAACAATTAGTTATCTGACTAAAACAACGTTAATTAAATACATGTACGAAGTTTGTCAATATCAGGCAGTGTTTTTAAATGAATAACTTGATTTTCTGAATTACGATAAAATACGCGTCCATTTGAAGAAAATATTTGATAACGTTTACTCTTTCAAACTCTTTGTCGTGCAGTAGTAAAAATCTTAGCATTTTTTCTTGAAAGATCTTCGGAAATAATAACGTTTTTCATTGGATGATCATTACGTAATTATCTAAAAACTGATTTACACAACAACAATGCAAAACAACGTGGTCTAGAGTAGAAACGTGCAATCAAAACCGGTGGAAGAGGTGGTTTAGTTGATGTTGAAATTTCCGGTTTTTGAAAAATACGATGAGCTGTTTCAATTTCTGTATAATCTAGATAGCATCCGATTTCATTTGCAATGTCCACGGTAACTTGAATTGCATCTTCATCTTTGTAATAAGGTACATTTAATAATCTAATATAGTATGAGCGATTATAACGTTCTGATTCATCTAAACGATTTTCAATATCAAAAATTTGATATTGTAATTGATTAAGACGATCAGAAATGATAGGTTCGAGTAAATCAACAATTTTTTGTAGATGACTATCAATATCAGTCATTTTTAAATCGGAATCTTTTGATATTGTGTCAACCAGTTGCTTTTTAACATCATTTTTTAATAGATCAGTGAGTTCATTACGTAAATTGAAGTCAGGCAGAACTGTTAGACATTCGCCAGTTTTAGTTCTTTGTGATTTGAACATATTAAATTAGTTATAACAGCGACTAAAGCAACACTTTATGTATCTACGTACTTCTTTATTCAATTCTTTACATATACAAACACATATCTGATCTCGACGAAAAATAAAGTCACAATGAAACATAAAGTCAGAACTCAAACTTCCCCTTTTTATTTAACAGAGATATCCATTAGAATAGGCAACCCCGAGGAAAGTTTGGGAATTCCGCGAGTAATCTGAGTAAGTTCCGCGGAATTCCCAAAATTTGACCGAAATTACCGAAATTTCTAAAGAGTCCCTTATTTTCCAAGATAGGGTTGCCTATTCTAACGGATATCTCTGTTAAATAAATAGTAGAAATTCCACTAATTTCTCCTTAGTTACCAAAACTTCCTCGAAATAACGGAAATTTCTAAAGAGTATTTTCCACAGATTCCTCGAAACTACCGAAATTTTTAAGAAGTCCCTTATTTTGCAACACAGAGTTGCCTTTTCTAATGGATATCTCTATGTAATAAATAGCAGAAATTTCAGGGATTTCCGCGGAATTACCAAAGTTCCGTCGAAATTACCGAAGTTTCTAAAGAGTCCCTTTTTTTCCAAGATAGGAGTGCCTATTCTAATTTATATCTCTGGTAATAAATAGTAGAAATTTGAGTAGTTTCCGCGGAATTACCAAAATTTGCAGGAGATTACCGAAATTTCCAAAGAGTCCCTGATTTTCCAATATAGGGTTGGTTATTCTAATGGATATCTGTGTTAAATAAATAGTAGTAATTTGAGTAACGTGCACAATCCAGAGGAATCTATGGTCGAAACTTCTAATTGTTGGAAAAGATAAGAGTAAAGATATGAATCATGAAGTGATAGTGTGATAAAGTGAGAACTATCTTAATTCTCTCTCTTCTTTCTGTCCCTCAGTTTTATCTGAGAAAACAGTAAAAAACAGGCAGCGTGTCGTGTCGTTCAGCCTATTATGAAGAAAAAAAGATATACAAGGAAAAATTGGGTATGTCACAATTTTTTAGCATATTATATTTTCTTGTTCGCTGGTACGAACGTTTTTTATATTCTTGCTGCCATTCAGAGGCTCGTGATTCATTTGTGGAGTCGCTGTCGGCTTGAGAATCGAAAATTCGAAGTTACTTAGGATATACCAAAAGTAATGACGCCAGTATCTTATTTCTTACAAGAATGCCTCAACAAATTTTCTTTTTTCATGTGGTCGTAGAGGAGAAGATGCTTTATTTTTCTGTACTATTTGATCACTGTTCAACTAATATCATAATAATAAATTTTGATCAAAAGTGCTTTTGTGTACGCCCTTACTAAGATTTCAGGTGGATTATGTGACTAAACTCTGCGTCTTTTACGTTTCAGTTTTCGCCTACTTCATAGATTGTGTCAAAGAACGACTTATACCAAAAAACGCAGCGTGAAAAGCTCTATAATCTTTACAGAACAGCTTATTTTACATTTGAGGTAGGCAACAAAAATTTCTCCTTCTATAGAAAAATATGACTTGTTTGGCGGTAGCGAGACAGAAACTTGCTTTCCTTCGAAACACAAAATACACAATCCAAAAAAACAGTTTTATGCAAACTGTAGAGCTTTGCACGATGCATCTTTTGACTTATTTGGTTTTATTTTGAATAAATGACATCAGGTGAAAAAAGGTTGAAATTAGAAAAAATGAGTTCATTTTGTGCCAAAAAGGTGTCGTTTCGTAACAACGAAAAGTAGTCGTTCAAACTTTAGCTCGTTATGCAAGTAAAAAGTGAAACTATGAAATGCGTGGTAGTGTGTAAATTATAGAGCTTTCCACGCCGTATTTTTTGATATAATTTGTTCTTTGATACAACCTATGAAGTAGTCGAAAAGTGAAATTTAAAAGCGTGACAATGTGAAATATTAATAATGCGGTAAACAAAAGCAGTTTTGATCGAAATTTATTATTATGATACTAGTTGAACAATGATCAAATAGTACAGAAACATAGAGCATCTTCTCCTCTATCAACGCATGAGAAAAGAAAAGTTGTTCAGGCATTCTACTAAGGAAATAAGATACGGACGTCATTACTTTTGGTATGCCCTAAGTAGATCCATGTCTAGATTTCACACATGTTCTTCTGAACCTGACGAATCATGCCTTACGGCTGTAGGATTTTGATCTTGTAGATCATTTCTAACGTTAGAATAATGATTCCGTCATATCACACCGTGCATTTCTAGATATGCAAATGCGAATCAAAGTGATGTGCAAGTTCAGTGTGTTTTGGGCACACGTTACTTTTTACAGTATAGAAATCTGCGAATCCTCCCTTCTTTACACTAATTACTGAGACAGAAATAACAAATATACTTACAGCACTACGTTCACTAGTATAGCTAGTAACATGTGAGTGATCACTTGTAATGACTATTTAAACATATACAGTACTATTTAAATATATATATAGTACGGCCTTCATATGAATGTATCATCATAACTCGTAGTTTCCTTTTGCACAATTTAGTGCAATGGGAAAATGTGTAGTTGGAGAAGTACAGCATATGAAAGATCGGTAGATTGTTAGTATTTGAGAAGAAACATAGCTCAAAAATTGAAAAAATGTAATTCCGTCACGCGCGTTTAGGTCAAAATATGTAAAAATTAGAAAAAAGTTTCATTTGACCTAGAAAAAATAATTTCATCTGTCTTTTATTTATTATTTATTAAATTGAAAGAATTGATCGAAATAAATTGAAAATAAATTGATTTTTGATCATTTGTTTAATATAAATAATAGTGAAGTCTAACAATATGAGTAAATAGACGATAAGAAAAAAATTTTTCTCTTTATACAAGTAACGTTCATCTGCGATTCACTGACTCTTGCCTGAAAATGTCTTTTTAGCGATGAGTTGGATTTTATGTGCGCTTAGCTTTTTAAAGAAAGAGAGAAACCACAAGGTTTGTTTATTTATGTGTAAGATTCCATTTGATCCAATGATACATAATGGGGTTGAAGGACATATGTCCAAGGATTTGAGCTTAAGCTTCATCGTGAAACATTCATACTGAGGCCAAAACCAATTTAGGATTTTGAAGATCTGCCTCAAAACTGAATGAGATAGCATTCGCTTTCTCAAAACATATTCTTCAAGAAATGAGTAGCGATATTAAAAGTCTATTTTTCGCCCATTCTCCCCAAATGTTTTTCAAATAGAAAGTATATGAATGTGAAAAGCAAAAACATATTGTCTACCCAAATTTTCGGATAAACTTTTTAGTCTGAAGTTTCCAAGAGTTATCGTAAACGTGCAGATCTTTGTGGCAATATGTTTGGACTCGTTTGTCTCTTTTATCTGGTCACCACTACAAATTAGGAAGCGCGCTAAACTAATTAGATAAAACTATACTGATTTCTAAACAAGGTTCATGCGAAACTTGTGTTTCTTATATTTCTGTTAGTTTTTTCTCTTCGTTTTTAGTTTTTCACTCTTTTTGTCGTTGCTTACATTCTGCTTTTCATCTATACGAAATAATGATCACCATCATGAGTACTTCCCCACGCGCAGGCATACAACGAGAAAAAAAGTGCAAGAATCAAAAACATCACACTTGACACATAAAAATCACTCTAATGAGATCGGGGACGCTTGTTATTGTTACTCTTGCAATGCACATACACTCACAGACATGCACTTGCAACTGAAGAATTCTGTCGGCGGACCAAAATGTCATAACAAGCGTCCCCGATCTCATTAGAATGATCTTTTTGTGTCAAGTGTGATGTTTTTGATTCTTGAACTTTTTTTTCTCGTTGTATGCCTGTATGTGTCTGTATGTGTTCTTCTAATCACAAATCTAGGTTTATCAGCGATAGGGTTACTTAATATACCCGTTCGAATTATTAAAAAGCGTTTTTTATAAACCCAAAAAGGTATCAGAGTTGGATTAATAAACTGTCAGGGTGTCACACTTTGGATGAAAAATTCATTGGTTTTCTGGTAAACCCTTTTGACTTTTTAATGGACCCAAAAGTACTTTTCACGTTAAAAAAGCCCCGCGACAAGTTTTTTGTGTCAAGTGTGATGTTTCTGATCGGTCGATAGAAAGAACGAAGAGAAAGAAATATAACAACACATACAGACACATACAGGCATACAACGAGAAAAAAAAGTTCAAGAATCAAAAACATCACACTTGACACATAAAAATCACTCTAATGAGATCGGGGACGCTTGTTATGACATTTCGGTCCGCCGGTAGAATTCTTCAGTTTCAAGTGCCTGTCTGTGAGTGTATGTGCATTGCAAGAGTAACAATAACAAGCGTCCCCGATCTCATTAGAGTGATTTTTTTGTGTCAAGTGTGATGTTTTTGATTCTTGAACTTTTTTTTCTCGTTGTATGCCTGTATGTGTTGTTATATTTCTTTCTCTTCGTTCTTTCTATCGACTGGCGCTTTCTTTCATTCCCTCGTATCTCTCTCCCTCAAGTAGGCGTGCATCATGCCCGAAGAACAGAAACATTGAAATTGTGTTTGTGAATAAAGGCAGCAAGAACGATGGCGGCAGTTCTCTCTCGGGTTTTTTTAAGTATATTTTTGATGTGAATACAAGGAGAAAGAGCGCGCGCGAGAGAGAGAATGTTTTTTATTTGCAAGTTAAAGTGTAGAATCAATGGATGGACGTATATGGATGAGTATTTGTATGTGTGTTCTTTTCATTCGATTCCAGGAATCATACACAGAATTTCATGGTGGTGGCAGGTTGTGTCCGTTCTTCTTCTTCATCATCGTCGTCGTCATCTCTTTCTTATTCACATTGAACTTGACAACGCTTTTTAAAAAAAGAATTACAATAACACTAGTAGAGGAATGTGAGAAAACATTCTCAAGCACGACCTATAAGAACTGAGAGTCATAGTGACGTGCGCTTGACATTTTCTAATTTCAAGACATGATTGAACATGGCTTTGAGTTCGCATGCGAGTGTTGCTGTTCGTCGGGCCCAAGAGGGAGAGAAAAAAAGGAACATACACACTTGACAGACAATATCATATAACGGTGGTGTGTGAGAAAGGGAGGATGGGACAATATTAAATTTTTTTTTTTCTTCTCACTCACAAAGAACACGACGTGTGTCGAAAGGGACTGTCAGGAACTGTGTGTGTGCACACTTTTTTTAGCAACACTCAGTAACGATACATTCATTCATTCGATGTTGTTGAGTGAGTGGAAAAAGAACAGAATTGTAGAATGGAGAATGGCGAGAGGAATACAGAGAGAAAAAATTTTTAATCATCAGTTCGAGACCCTTGCAAAAAACAGGAAAGAATGAAGAGCAACTTCCTTTCTCTTCCTTTTCTGAATATAACAGTCACTCTGTTTGTGCATTTTTTTGTGTGCGTTTCAACAGCAGCGCCTTCATCCTCCACACATTTTTTTTTCGCTCTTGTATTTTGTCTTGATGTTTAAAAGTCAAATGAAACAGAACAGATGCCAATGTGTGGGTAAAGCAGAGGAAGAGAGCGAACGAGAAAGATGCAGCCGGGCAAGGGCAGCTGACGCCGGCCGCACTTCATTTGAAAATAACGAGTGAGTGCATGTGTACAACGAGCAAGACTAATAAACTGACTTGTGAACCGATGACCGAGAGGACAGAAAAGAGAGAGAACCAAAAGACAAGAGGCGGCATGAGAAGAGAAGAGCAGAGAAGCGGCAACATATATACATATGCCCCGTCACTTGGCGAGAACTCTCAACCCTTGTGGCGCGGTGTGCGGGACGATGGGAACCGTCACATAATATATGCTTCTTGTCTCACTTTTTTAGAAAGACGCATTGTACCAATCACTATGTATCCTGTGATAACACCACAGACGCAACAACCAACAGTGTCCATACCACCGCAATCAAAACAACAAGAACGCCTAGAAAAAGGAATAAAATACTTTTCATCCAAAATGTTTCTAGTTCAATTGGTCTTAGCTGTTGTTTTCTCTGTAATAGAAATCAGTTATGGTGGACAATACATTCGTCAATGTCCAATCTCGCTATACATTCCTGTATTTCTTCTCGTTCATGGATCAACAAAAATCGTCTGGGCAGCATGTGGCGTCGTAGCTTATATTGAAGCAAAATTCTTTTCAAATTCACCTAACATACGTATACTAATGTTAATTAATCTCGTTATCCAATTAGTATTTCTATTATTTTTTCTTGCATGGTTTATTCTCGGCAATGTATGGGTTTGGTCTGTTAAAGCAACAGTACAGACGGATCCAAATGTGCCAGCGACCTACTGTCAGAATACACTCTATGCTGCAGCACAAAGTCTCATTATTTCAACTTATGTCGTTGTTGGCATAATTATACTTATAACAATTAAGCGACGTACAATTGGAAAAGCGTTACCTTTTAAGCGAACGAATAGAACACATGGTAGAAGATCTCAACAAAATGATGGAAATATCAGTTAGAAAAATAACCCAGTTTCTTACTCATTCCTTTGTGTTTTATTGATTTCTTGCGTTAAAAGATTTTATTATGATTTAAGAGAGGGTCCACGAGTTCATCGAACATCGCCATACTCTCGAAATTTTGACCTATATTTTTATGATTGGAAACGAAAGCCCATAGATAGAAACTATTAAATCCAAAGTTCAAGTAATTAACTAAGTCGAAAAACAACATGACACAACTCTTGATCTGCTAATAATAAGATAAAAGTTAACAAACACAACTGACTGGAAAACTAGCTGGTATTATTCATTCGATCAATGAGAAAATAACATGTATTCTCATTTTGAGCAGTTGAAAAAACCGCTGTGAACTCCATTGCAACTCATAGCTTGAATAATTCAATTTTTTGTCCCCTCATCATTTCTTAAAATACGTTTTTCTGTATTTCAATGAACCCCTTTATTTAAGAAAGTGTGACACCCTGACAGTTTATTAATCCAACTCTGATACCTTTTTGGGTTTACAAAAAACGCTTTTTAATAATTCGAAAGGGTATATTAAGTAACCCTATCGCTGATAAATCTAGATTTGTGATTAGAAAAACATCTTCACTAAAGTCGGTGAGACTTTTTCGAATTTTGAACTGACGCTAACGGTTAATTTGAAAAGTAAAATATCAGGAATCCGACTCTATTAGCCTCTAGCCACATGTGTTTTCGTCAATTTAAGGCTTTTCCGAGCTCCCTGTGATGCAAACTGTGATGAAAACTTTCAATTACATGGTCAATTTTAACTGATATATCATTACTACTTCCTTTCTTAACCACCACAGAAATATGCCAACATTGTAAAAAAGATCCGTAGAATAATCAACCCTACGGAAAGGGTTTCAACCAGTCATAAACCCTTTAAGCGTTTATTGCTAGTTTCATAAACCCTTTATAAGGGTTTATTACTTCCTTGCCAAAGAACTTTTCCTGCGATTCGCGGTATTTTGCAGGCAACCATTTCATCGCCCAGTCCATATATACGAACACTGTAACATCCTGTAAATTATTTACTAATTCTTGGTTGACAGATCTTAGTAAATGTGCCTTCCATGCATCGATTGCATCACTAGACATTCGCAGCTTAGCAAGGGCTCTGTCAAATAGTTCACGATCATCGACCAAGGTTTTTATTTCATTTTCAATCGTTTCCAGTGTTGCTGCCAAATTTTCACATTCATTACACCGATCATTATGTTTGTGATCACATTTTTCAACGAAATCATCATCCGTTGGAGATGACAAAGCGTACTTGGTACAATGATCTTGGGCAACGGTCGATTCTTTACTAATATGTACTTTATGATCTGATTTCAAGTACATACGAGCATGTTTGATGTTATTGATAAGTGATTGTTTACTATCTATATCCAAATTCAACTCTTCGACCAACTGGACTAGATCATCGACTGCCTGTCCCGCAATGGCCACAAAATAATTGATACCTTGCATGCTCTGTCTTGTTGAGGCTTTGCAAGCATGCAGAAGACTTACTAAACTTGTACGCCCGAGTGGAGGAAAACCAGAATTATTTTCTTCCGTATCAGAGTAATATTGATCAATTATTCTTGTAGGAATGAGGATCCTATAGGATAAACCTAGATTTGTGATTAGAAAAACATCTTCACTAAAGTCAGTGAGACTTTTTCGAATTTTGGACTGACGCTAACGGTTAAGTAAAATATCAGAAATCCGACTCTATTAACCTCTAGCCACATGTGTTTTCGTCAATTTAAGACCTTTCCGAGCTCCCTGTGATGCAAACTGTGATGAAAACTTTCAATTACATGGTCAATTTTAACTGATAAATCAAATCTAATAGTATGGTTAGAAAGAGCACACCAAGTTGTACTTAACATACGCAAAAACTAATAAGAAGTACAGCTTCTTTAAAAGGTTGGACATATGCACATGACATGGATATCATGTGCATATGTCCATCACATTGTTATTGCTAGTTTTCCTGAGCGCTGATTGGTTTATCAGTGATAGGGTTACTTAATAAGGTAAGATAGATGTTTACGGGTTTATAAAAACGCAATAGTGTAGAAAAACATGTCGAATGTATTGTTCAATTAGATTCTGTATTTGAATTCATACTCAAACTAAAGAAAAACAAACTATATTATTTTGATATTATTATTGAAATAAAAGCTTTTTTCAGATTAGAAGTGCGACAAAAATCATTTCTTTTCTTTTGAAATGAAATTTTTACGTTTTTCTAACGTTTTTTCTCTGTTATATAGTGTGAAATATATGAAACAAGCTATTTTCCTTTTCTGTGCGTATGTTCTCCATTCGTTCTGTTTACACAAAAAGACTGTATGAACGCAACGCAAAAAGAAAAAAAACACGTGAGAAAGAAAAAAATTTCTTTTAAAAAGAAAAGAATGATTTTTGTCGCAGTTCTATTATTTCATTAGTTTTCTTTGTTGTTTGTTAGAAGGAAAAAAAGAATCAAAGAAAAATTCGACATTGATATGCTTTTTTTTGTTGTTTGAGTTCTTTCTCATTGTATTGTTTATATATACTGTTAATAAAAAGATTTGTAAAATCAATTGATACGAAAAACCCAATGATCAAAACATATCGTTTTTCAAAAACAAAAAGGAACAATAGCAAACAAACAAGGAAAAGTATTCTTTGATTTTCGAACTAAACAAAATGTTAAAAGAAAACAAATATTTGACTGATTTTTCGGTTACTTGGTTGCGTAAAATACAAAACTTGAAGAATTTTTATTCTAAAAAAACCTGTACAAACATTTTTTCAAAGATCAAACACGCTTTCATGTTATCATCAAAAACTCTTGAGGCCCCCCGTCAGAAAAATTAATTTTTTGAGTCGATATTGAGCTAAGTACAGGGTATATAATAATAAGACCCCCATAACACGTACATAGAAAAATGTTTATTTTTTTACAATAAGGAATAATATTGATCTGCTAGTGGCATGGCTATGTAAGACTAATTGCGTGCCATCTGATGCCCTAGCATCTCTCTTTTATCTTTAGTTTAAGCTTTTTATTTAAAGAACTCAAAAAAAAGAAACAAGAAAAGAAGACCAAACAAGTGAAATCGTTGTCCTAAGGACTACATTGTATCTCCTGAGAGGAGTCCTTAAACAGAACATCATCATAAAATAAAAATGGACGAAAAGAAAAGAAAAACGTTGGACTTAGGGAACGTTTCAAAATGTATTCCGGTCGGTCGCTATTCCTCTATTCCACTGTTCCCCTATTCCTCAATTCCGCTATTCCTCTATTCCCCGACTATTCCTCTCTTATTCCTCTGTCATTCCTCTATTCCGCTCTTCCTCTATTTTTCTGTTTAAAGAATAAAATCTTTCATTGCCTCAAGCACTACACGGCTTGTTCAGCTAACGGTCCTCTTTTTACGCTCATTCTCAAAAAACTATTGCAGTAGAGCCACAAACTAATCTAAGATTGCAGCTAGATAATTGAGTAGATTAAACATTTCTCCACAAAATGAAAAGTGTATCGGCTTTGAACGTTGATTCGTTATGAAAATAGAGCTGTTGTACAAACAGCCGAAAAAGTCGATATGGGGATTATCTAAAAAACGTGTCTAAAAGACTAAAGACGAGCAGACGAAAATTGAACAAGTATACCAGTTTGTGGAAAATCGTTTGCTCTACAAGATGTGATAGCTTTTTAAGTTCGAAACTATTCTAATTATTCGATTAACTATATCAAAGGAAAAGGATAGAGTTGTCCTGATTATTTTAGGGTGTTCTCTTGGAATGTTTGGTGTTCTCTCTAGAATAATACTATTCTCATTTAAGAGAAAAGTTCCGTAACAAGCGAGTTTAGAAAACTATAACGCACAAATTTTCTGTATTATCAGGAGACTATTAGCAAAAGGTCACTCGTCTGTAATGCGATGTCCTCCACTAAATAAATAGGTAAATAAAAAGACATACACTTCAGAATTGAACCAGTTAGGTAAACTGAGAGATGAACGAGAGAAGAACCACCGACGGTACTATTCTGTGTTGGATTAATGAAGAGACTAATTGAGAATGACCGAGGAGCAAAAGCAGCATTTTGATGCATACAACTAACTGATTGTGATTGAAAGTATGCTTGGCTGCCGCTGAAGATGATTGCTTGATTGACACGACCATTGAGATTAGAAATAAGATTAGCACCGTTACCGTTTATAAAAGTTTGACCGTAGTCCAGAGCCCTGCAGGTTGATCCTAACCTAACCTAACCTAACCTAACCTAACCTATAGGTTAGGTTAGGATTAGGTTGCAAAAGTTACAGGCTAGGTTCGGTTATAGGTTATTCTATTTTTTTTTTCAATGGTTAGGTTAGGATTAGGTTGTCGAATCCATAGGTTAGGTTAGGATTAGGTTGTGAAATTTTTTATAGGTTAGGTTATAGGTTGCCAAATATTGGCAACCTGCAGGGCTCTGCCGTAGTCCTCAAAAGTATTTGATTTAAACTGCTTTTATTTAGAATAAGAAATAACTAGTAATGATCACAAGCGGGTGGGGAAGCACTCATGATAGTGATCATTATTTCGTATAGATGAAAAGCAGAATATAAGCAACGACAAAAAGAGTGAAAAACTAAAAACGAAGAGAAAAAACTAACAGGAATATAAGAAACACAAGTTTCGCATGAACCTTGTTTAGAAATCAGTATAAGCTGTGGTTGTATGAGGAGGCAAAGCACATCAGAGGTGGAAAGAAAGGATCAAAACTATTTTTTTCTTTGCTTAGGGAGGTAGAGTACGGTTTAAAATCGTCTTGTTTTATCAATAAAACAAACAACAGCATCATGAATTTCTTTCATCTCATTCAGACTTAAAGATTTTGCTAATAGCAAAAGATCTAATGTTACTGTACCTAAATGATTAATTGAATCGAATAGAACTTTCCTGTCTGTGTTGTACCACGAACAATGAAAAAAGTAATGGATCAAACTTTCTCTTCTACCGCAGACACACGAATCAGTATCACTGCTTTTTAAAATATTTTTCTCGTTTAAACATTGTTTTAGAGGAGGAGGATGAACTCTGCATCTTGTATAGGCTACCTCGAAACGACGGGGAACATTTATACGCAAATATTTTCTTATATCACGACTTTCATTTAAAACATGAAAATAATCATTTAATTTTTGCTTGAAAATATTTATCTTAAAAACTGACCTAATCGCAGTTGGAAAATTTCATTCCACTCCACTAGTAATATTGCAAAGAAAGTATTACTTAGCAATCTACTTGCGAGGTTACGAATTGTATATTGTCTTCTTTTTCCAACTCTTAGTTGATATGTACTCTTGTTTACACTCAGTTGTACATGGTCACGCAAATACTGGGAAGTAAGACCTCGCACTATTCGAAAAAATAATAATAAACGCATTTGTAGAAAATGTGTTCTAATTGGCAGCCAGTACAAATCATTCAAAACTAGATTCGTTATTGTTCTGTTTATAGTACTTGTAACAAGTATAACAAGTAAGTACGAAATAAAACAGCAGATCGCCCTCCGATGTTGAAGGCCTTGTAGGACACCAGTTAGTGCAGTGTCCATTAAAATCTCCTAGAAGAACTACTCCTTGAATATTTTTATATTTTATATTTATCGCACAAATTGATTTTTCAAGAAAATTTAGAAAATTAGTGACAGAATGATAATCAGGACGATAACAAGTAGCAATAACATACGGCTTGTTCGGTGCAAAAGTGATTTTAAGAAACATAACTTCAAAAATAGAATCTTCGTATTACAAAAGACGTTCAGCTTCAATACCATTATTAACATACGCAATACATCCACCTCCATGGGTGTTTCTGTCTTTGCGAAATACAGAGTAATTACTTTAGAATATAATATGAAATCATTATTATCTGAACAAGAACAAGAAATAAAAACAACTGATTATACAATACTTGTTGATATTTACAAAAATCTCGGCTATTGTTATATGCGGAAAACTGAATATGAGCAGTCAATTCAATATTTATTAAAATCACTTGAGATAAAAGAAAAATATTTTCCAAATGATCAATTAGAAGTTGCACGTTTAAATAATGATATTGGATTTTGTTATCTTAAAATGAATACAAACGATTTATCATTAAATTATTACAACAAAGCACCAGTAGAAACCTATGAAAAAGAGGGTTCTATAGACTAATGTTAAAAAAGAAAAATATTAAACGACTAATATTAAAAATCAATTAAATATTTTTCGTCCGGATTTTTCAAGAGTACTACTTTTTTTAGAACAAGTGTTATCGTATATGGCAAACAGTTCACCGGTTGCCATGGTGTTTGTAGATTTTAAGAGTGCCTTTGATTAGTTGTGGTTCGAAGGTTGCTTAGGTAAGCTACGGAGAATGGGGATCCCGAGAGCATATTTGAAATGGATAAAAGCTTGGTTGGACAATCGCAGAGTGTTTGTTGAGATTCAAGGAAAAAGATCACGTTGGATTCCAATAAGGAGAGGAGGGCCAGAAGGTTCTATTTTTACTCCTACTCATTTTATAACGTATCATGCGGATATGAGAGATTTCCTATATAATCCCGTTTCATTCTTTTTTGCAGACGATTTGGCTGTAGTAGTGGCCGGTAGGATAGGAGTTAGATACACTGAACAGTGTTCGCATTTAGAACTACGGGTGAAAACCTTTTCTGATAGCTGAGAATTCTACTCAGGTTTGGCAGTCCACCCCATAAACTATGATAAAACTGAAGCTCTATGATCTGCTCGAGCCATTGGGAATCCAAAATTTGATATTTTATGTGGAACACATAAAGTAAATTGATTGAAAGACGTCAAATATCTCGGGTACTGGATAACTCCGAAGCTTGGTTGGGGTACAATGATAAGGAAAAGCATGCTTAAAATCAGACAGTACGCGATAATGATTAATACTTATCGTATTTCAGGTTTAACCTCCTCTCAACTGAGACGGGCTCTCTTCTCTTGTTTTGTTCTTTCAATCTATACGTGGCTTTTTGCGCTTTATCCACTTTTTACACAGAAACAGCGTACAGATTTAGCGCATTTTTATTATACCTGCTTAAAACGTGTATCATTTAGCCTTCAATAGTCGGATACCTTCTTCGCGTTTGCACTCAATGAAATTTCACTCGATGATCGATGTAACAGATATTGGGAAAAATATTGGTGCATTATTTTGCCGAGTCTACGGATGGCAAGCTCTTTTTTGAGCAAGCAAATTTAAACGTGTTTAGGAAGGAGTGGTTAGATGAAGAAAATTCTATAAAATGCCACAAAACTTGCAAACGCTTTATGAATCATGTTTCTGTGCTTGAAAAATGCCTTCTTTGGTGTTCGGATAACGTCTTGGATGATTCGATGCCAATCCTCGATATGAATGATGTCCTACTTCTACAAGTTCCCGGAAACGTTCTGATAGATCAATTCTTGTGTCGTTTGTTCCTCTGTAGCAGCTAAACCCCCCCCCAGAATAGAAGGGCATGGCTTTCTCTTGTGTCCCGTCGGATCAAACTTTTTAGGGTGGCCTTCTATTAAGAGTGGCCTTCTAAACCGACCTCCTAGATAGAATTTTCTAAAAGT